AGGTAGGAATTTAGAATTCATCCACAGGGAACTGGATCAGAAGCAGAGCAGCTGGGATGGGAACCATCTCTCTAATATGGGCTGCTGGTGTCACGAGTGGTAACCTAAGCTGGCGCATCACTATGCCAACCCTTTCCAGTATCTTTGTGTCATTGACTATGAACACACCTGTGTGTACATTTGGAACTATATATGGGATTCAGCCCTCAGTTGAGGCATGGTAACCACAGTGTTCTTGGACTGTAGGTGGGTCATGGCCACCTTAGAGAGTGACTCCTGTGTCCTAGGGGTGAGATCATCAGTGGTTCTCACAGACGGTGTTCCTAAGCAGTTAATTTGGTTCTTAACGAGGGCTTCTATTCAGCACTAAGCTGGTTTTTGGAAACGAGACTCCAAGGGAACCTGGGGGCCGTCTGGCTCGTGTCTATTCCGGTGCCAGTGATGGATGGATGCACATCAGTAACCTCTTTGCCTTCATCAGAGACCCATTCTGTTCCACATTGGAGAGTGGCTTGAAAAGGGTCTGGTGACTATGATTGATTTATTCCGGGTGGGTCAGTGAGAGTCAGGGCTCAGGGCGCTCCGACCAAGGTGGCGGCTGCAGGGAGAACGTGAAGGTTTGCAGCGGGAAGGACTGACTCTAGCTGGGACTTACCAAAGCTTGCGATGGCAGCTACTTGGCCTTTCACATCCGGGACGTTCACCCACTGTCGTCTGGTGCAGATCCTGCCTTCTAAGCAGAGTACTGACGTGAGCCGTGATGGGCCTGCGGCAAAGAATGGACGGATATGCCAGCCTGAGTGAATTTATCGTTTCTCATCAGCAGTTGCTACTGGGCTGAATCCAAACAGGACTCTTCCATGTTCCCAAGTGATCCCTGTTCAAAAGGAGCAGAAATAAAAGAAAACCCAAATAAATCAACAATAGAGAAAATTGGTGAATGACCTAGGGAGACGTTTGTCAAGATATACAAAGGCCCAATGACCAAGTAGTAATGCACCTCACTGAGCATTGACGAAATGCGAGTAAAAACACTAACATCTTAGTCCGGTCTTTCAAAATCCACTGCATAGAAGGGTCTTCAAACATTTTGTGAACATGCCTGATTATGAAAAACTATGCTTGGATTTGAAAACTTTTATGCATCCAGACAAATTCATCCCTGATTCTATTTTCCATGACCTTTTTGAAGCCTCACAAGACCTGGCAGCACACGGCTAGGGAGAAAGTTTTGAGGAAGGAATTTCTAGGGGAGAGGGAGGTCCCCAACCTGACAGGTTGGAGATTCAGAGAAGTATGAAAGGAACCGAGGCGTTGGTTTAAAGGTGTCCCCAGCACCTGAGAAGGCAGAGACTGCAAGCAGCAGGAAGCGTGGTGTGGCGGGCGAAGAGATAATAGGTGGTGGCTAGCACTTCCTTGGGAGTCAGCTTTCCTCTGGGGGAAACTGGCAGCTGGTCCCACAAACAGTACCGCGTAACTGTTGCTCACTTGAACTTTCACCTACATCGTGGAAGGGTCTGGGGCAAATGTTTCCCAAGTTATTCCTTTCTTTGCACGTTCTTGGTGTCTTTTAGAGGGCTAGACCCCACACACCACGCACACAGCCATTCCAAGTGGGGAATTCTGTGGTTGTGGTACACGCAGAGTTGGTAATGAGCACCGCAAGCACTTCAGAAACATCTTGATCACATTATAAAGAGACCCATTTCGTCCCCACTCCACCTCATCTCCCTAAGTAAGCAGCAAGACACTCTTTTCTCTATTCTAGAGAGTTCCTATAATTTAGGGATGATATACTATATGATGTTGGGTGACTGGCTTCTTTCACGGAGCACAACATGTTGCTTTAAGGATTTATTTACATGAAAGGTGGAGTTACAGAGAGGGAGTCACAGAAAGAGATCTTCCACGTGCTGGTTCTCTGCACAGATGGCCACCACGGCCAGAGATGAGCCAGGCGAAGCCCACACCTCCTGCCGGGTCTGCCATGTGAGTGACAGGGCTTGGGCCACCTGCTGCTGCCCCAGGTGCATCAGGTGAGCAGGGAGCTGGATGGGAAGCAGAGCAGCTGGACCTGCAGCCAGCTCCTGATCTGGGACTATCCGTGTGCCGTGGTGCCAGCCCTCACAGCCAGGAATTGATAGCATTCATCCACGTTGTGGCATATATGCAATTCCTGTTTTCACTGAGGGAAAGATTCTGTTCCACGGATATTCCACGTTTTGTGTTTTCTCATTCGCTCAATTTAACAACACTTAGTTTGCTTCCACTCTTTTGCAGTTGTGAATAATGCAGCTCATGTGCACATAAATTTTTTGCAGGATGTAAGTGCAATTACTGGATGCAATGATAATTTCATCTGTGTCTTTTCGAGGAGCCTGCCCTGGCTGTTTTCCAAGACTCTCACTTCACTTGCTGAAGCTCTTTTCAAACCGACGTCTGTCAGTTATCCATTTGGCATAAACCTGAAGGCTGGGACAGTCTTCCACGGGCCTGGGTTCACGACGATCAGGAGAAGAAACCCACAACTAGAACTGTGGCGATAACACACAAGGACAGAAGGGCATTAGCTAGCAGCTTCAGAAAAGCCTCACCAGATGCAGGAAGCCACTAAAGACCACAGCTACGGGCTCTTGTCATCTCCGCTCTCGTGCGTACTGGCAGAGGGAAAAGACAAAGCATTTTTTCGAAGATTTATTACATTTTTATTTGAAAGGAATATTTACAAAGAGAAGCGATACACAGATCTTCCACCCAGTAGTTCACTCCCCAGTGGCCACAACAAGACCCTGGATGGATCTGGTTTGATCTGAAGCCAGGAGCTTTTCGTGGGTCTCCTGCATGGTGAAGGGATCAAAGGACTCAAGCCAACATTAGCTGCTTTCCCAGCACATTAACAGGGAGCTGATTGGAAGTGAAGCAGCCAGGTCCTGAACAGGTGCTCATATGAGATGCCGGTGCTGCAGGTGGAGGCTTAACCTACTATGCCACGGCTCTGGCCCCGAGACAAAACAGTTTAAAAAGAAAGTGCTGGGGCCCGGCGCGGTGGCGCAAGTGGTTAAGTCCTCGCCTAGCACGCCCGGGATCCCATATGGGCGCCGGTTCTAATCCCGGCAGCCTCGCTTCCCTTCCAGCTCCCTGCCTGTGGCCTGGGAAAGCAGTCGAGGACGGCCCAAAGCTTTGGGAACCTGCACCCGCGTGGGAGACCCGGAAGAGGCTCCTGGCTTCGGATCCACATAGTATGGGCCCGTTGCGCTCACTTGGGGAGTGAATCATCGGACGGAAGATCTTCCTCTCTGTCTCTCCTCTCTGTATATCCGCCTTTCCAATAAAAAAATAATAAAAATAAATCTTTAAAAAAAAAAAAAGAAAGTGCTTAGAAATACTTTCCATATTTAAATATAAAATACACAGAAGTACATAAACCACATCAATGAATCTTTGCTCCCCCTTTCCCAGTTATAAGCATCCCGAGGGAAAGGGGGTAGGCTGACTTCTGACACCAACATTCTTAGACACAAAGAATACATTTTTAATGGTACGTTTCAAGTGTCAAGGACTGCTCCGTGGAACAGATCTGTCTAGCAGAGAGAATTTCTTAAGGCTCAGCCAGACTTAGCATATTGCAAGGTGTACTACATTCTTCACAATTAAGCACCGCTCAGCATGTATATAAAGCAAAGGCCGTAACCTCAGCACCCACGAAGCTTTGGGTTTCACAGCAGAGGTTAAAACACCACTGGGGTGTTGGAGTCGCCTGAAGACAGCAGGTGACAAATGTTTATTTAAAAAGGCATCTCCCTTTCCCTCCGGGATTTGAAGGTCATTCCTGGGAGCTGTAAAGGAAATCCTTGGGATGGCTAGTTAATTACAGGTGCTTCCATAACTGAAAGGTATATACGTGTAAACACTTGCACATGGACAGTTCCTCACATGGCCGACTGAAGTAATGATCAGAAAAATAAACGCCGCCTTCAGAAGCTGAAAGCTGACCACCAGTACCCCTATACTGAAGGGGTACGACACGCCCTTAGCCCTGGGGCTGATCAGGCTTAGTGATCCTCTGGAAAAACCCAGGACGATCACTTTACATCACCTTAGGTAGAGCACTTTGAATGGATCCGAATTCTTTGAGAGAAAAGGGTGCTAACAGGGGAATCGTTCTCCCTGGCTTATAAACTACCGGAGCAGAGTAGCGCTTCCCCGGAAATCTGGGATTCTGCTTCCACCGAGTGATGCCCCAGAGGTCCTGAGCCAGGAGGACCGTGCGTGGCCCTTGAGGTGCGCTGCAGCCGGAGGCGGGCCCCGGCAGGTGGCGGCGGTCCTCCCGCGCGCTCCGGTTCGGATGCCGGGAAGGCGACTCGGCCGCCCGCACGCCGCGCACGGTCAGTGCCGGGAAGTCCCTCGCGGACGCGGCGCCAGTAACTCCGCACGGCTTTGTCCTTCCAGCCGCCCTTGGCTTCGATCGTTTCCCATCAGGTCCCCCCGCGGCCCCTCCTTTCGCAGCCCCCTCCCCGGATGGGGTGCTTGGAGAGAGTTGAAAAGCCGCACGCTGGGCGCTAAGGGCGGCTGCCAGCTCCGGGCTGGGTCCTTGCTGGATCGCGCCCCCAGAGCGCTTCTCCGCCGCCCTCAGGCTGGGTAGATTGCTGCGGGGCTCCTTCTTAGCGCCAGGGACTCGGGGGAAAACGGAGGGGCGAGGCACCCGTCCGGCTCAGCCTCCCGGAGCGAGCGCGGGGTCAGCTGAGACTTGGCCCCGGCGCGGCGCGAACGCAGGGCGCGCGTGGGTAGAGAGGGTGAGCGGCCGGAGGCGGGCCCGCGGGGCGGCAGGTGGGTGCGGCCGCCGGGAGCCGGGGCGCAGCGGCCGCAGCAAGTGGTTGGGCCGTGCGCATTTCCTTCCCTCCCCCTCGGTCCGGAGCGCGCCCGCCGTGCCCCGTGCGCCGCGCCGGCGGCTCCGTTCCTCGTCCTGACCCGCCGCAGCCTGCGCCCGTCGCCGTCGGGCCATGTCGCTGCCCGTGGTGCTTCCGGGCTCCTGCTGCCCGGTGGCCGGGCTCTCGGGCGGGCCGCAGGCCGGGGGCCCGGGAGCCGCCGCCGCCGCCGCGCAGGAGCCGCCGCTGCCCCCGCTGCGGCCGCGCTGGCCCCGGGGCGCCCTGCAGCCCCCGGCGCGGCCTCGCTGCGCGGCTGCCACGGCCGGGGTGCTGGGCGCGCCGCCCGCGCTGTCCTCCCGCAGGGCCGCCGCGCCCGGCTCCGCGCTGCTGCCCGCCCGCCCGCTGCTGTCGCTCGGGCTGCTGCAGCTGATCCTCGGCTGCTGCATGGTGGCGCTCAGCTTCGGGGCACTGTCGCTGAGCAGCTCCCCGCAGGTGAAGAATTCGTGCCCGTTCTGGGCTGGCTCCTCGGTGAGTACCGCCCGCGCGCGCCTGCCTGTCCTGGCGGGCGGGCCCACCGGCCCTTGGGTGGCGCCCGGAGCTTCAGTTGGGGAACACAGCCCCACAGGGCCGCCTGAAATTTTTGGTGGCGCTGGGGCAGGAGACGAGGATTCCGAGGTGGTCGAATTCAGGGTGTGTTGAACTGCACCTGGACATGGTGTGTTCCTAAGGCGCTAGTAGATAGAATAAAACACACATGGCTAAGGAAAGTTAGGGTGGAAAGCGAGAAAGCGGGAGGGAGACAACCGCTTCTGGGGAGCCGAAGATTGTGTGGCAGTGTCCGCACCCAGAGGGCAGCGATTCTGATGGTTGTGCCCGCTGATGCCATGGCCAGTGCCCGGTACACAGTAGGTGTGCTTGCAGGGTGGAAGAAGGGACGGGTTGTTTGGGACAAATCCCTTGTTTTCAGGGAGGCGTTGTAAGTGGGAAGGGTGGTGTAGGATGGCTCCACTGTGTTTGGGGCAAGTTCGGGAGATAATGAGTGGGTGTGTGCCAGCCTGCTTGCACCTGGTCATTACAGGGGGCCCAGAGCCCAGGTGGGCTCCGGGAGCTGCACAGACCTAACCTGTCATTATGGGTGAGTGCGTCAGAGTTCCAGGAGGAGCAGGCTGGGGGCTGGCGCTGCCTGCCTTGCTCCAGGGCCCTGTCCTGCCACTTTCAACCCGCAGGGCTCACCCCATCCAGGGAAAGGGTGCCCAGCTTCACAGGACTGCTGCCAGCCAGTGTAGGGGTGTAGGCGGCAGCGGAGTGGCCAGTTACTTCCGGCTTCTGAGTGCTTTGACAATGCTCCTGGTACCCAGCCTCTTGGTATTCGTTGGCTGGGGGCTGACAGGGCTGGAAGCAGGTCTGGGTGAATGTCTGGGAGGCCAGCGCAGGAGAGCGTACAGCGAGCTTGAAGACACTTGCAGCTTCTGCTGGGAGCGGGAGGAGTAGAGTCCATGTGTGTCCCAGCTGTGCGTCTGCAGGTGGTCAGGGCTAAGTGTTAAGAGCCTAGAGCTCGTGTAGCCCCCAGTGGTTGAGTAAGAATCCACTCCTGGATCCTGTCATTGCGATTGGCTGGCTGCCTGAGTGCTCTACAAGTGAACCGGTCTTCTTGAGGCCCAGCCTGGGCTGGGGCAAGTGCGGCCCAGCAACCCTCCCTTGGGCCCCCTGTCTCTGGGGCTTGCTGCTGGCCTCGGAAAGGTCTGGAAAAGTCCAAAAGGGGCAGGTGTTCCCAACTGGGGATGAGTTAGATCTGTTAGGCCCTCTATTCCGCTGTGAGGCTGGGTTCTGCCGAACGGTGACTGCATCTCTCACTGGTTAGAAATGAATCTAATCAGCTTTGCATGTAGTTTTAGAGTTTTGTTCTTGGTAAAATCATAGTCTCTCTTCTCAAAGATAGCTAGGTTAGGATCATTGAAAACGGTTTTTCTCTTCGACAGTTAAAACCTGGAGTCAGGTTTTAATAACCTGGAGTCAGTTTATTATTGTGGATTATTTCAGAGGTCAGTGCACTTAGATGCCACTCAAGCCCTGGCTGGATTTGGACAAATAAATCATAAATCTTTCACACTGGACCTACTGACTGGGCGCATCCTCGCCTTTAGCTCTGAGCAAAGCAGGGCAGAGAAAGAGTCAGGGAACTGGAGCTTACAGGGGCCCCTCACAAGCTTCATGCAGTGGAAAGTTGTTTTGGTGCAGAAACTTTTGAAATTCACGTATACAAGATTTCTTCAAAAGGCTCATATGACAAACAAAAAACAAAAAATGAAAAACCATGGCTCTCTCTTTTTTTGCATCAGGTTGGGCTTATCCCTGAATCCCTGGCTGAATTTTCACCTTGTACACGCCAGGACCCCATATGGGCACTGGTTCATGTCCTAGCTGCTCCACTTCCCATCCACCTCCCTGCCTGTGGCCTGGGAAAGCAGTGGAGGACGGCCCAAAGCCTTGGGACATTGCACCTACATGGGAGACCTGGAAGAAGCTCCTGGCTCCTGGCTTCAGATTGGCTCAGCTCCGGCTGTTGCGGCCGTTTGGGGAGTGAACCAGGAGATGGAAGATCTTTATCTTTGTATCTCCTGCTCTCTGTATATCTGATTTTCCAATTAAAACATCTTTAAAAAAAAAAAAGAAAGGCACCTGGGAGAGAGTAACTTCTGGGTGGGTTCTTGTCTGTATTTCATGTTTCAGGAAGCTGAAGAGCGTGCTGTTAAAGTACGCTTTGTTTTTGGAGCACTCTCTGGTTATTTATTTTCCTACTGGTGGCATTCATTAATGACTCAATCTATCATTATCCCCAAAGTTCGTGGAGCTAAGAGATTAAGTGTCTTCATAAACAACCTGACATTTGACTGCAAGTGGGTGGTCAGGGGTGACACGCTGTCTGGGTCACGCTGTCCCCGCTCCCCACTGGCTGGGAGCTAGCTAATGTTAGTTAGAACCTGCTGCGTTATGGGAGACCAAGGCTGGCCCGCTGCAGTGGACTTACCCAAGTGAATCGTGTTGGAATCCCTACTGCTTCTTACGACCTGGAGCCGCCCAGGTCTGTCCACTGCGAGGCAATGATCTGAATTCTGATTAGACCACCCTTGAGTCCCGGGTTCTTCTGGAAGATTCCACCTTGTTCTAAAGAGACAGATGTGGGTGAACTTCCTTTTTTTAAATTTAGTGAGTAAATCTGAAATAGAAGGCTTACTGATTCAATTAGGACCAATATAAAATTCTGAAGTCCTATTGCATTCATCCGATGCTTCTTTAATATTTAAAGACCATTTGAATATGTTTTCTGGAATGAACGTAGATTTTCTCCTGTCCTCTATTGTATTTGACACCAGAATCAATAAGCTGTGTACCACAAGCGGGCCATTGAGCTTTGCAGTCTCACTTACTTGTCTGAAAAATGGGTTACCTATCTGTAAAATTGCCTCAAGCTTGATTTTGTGAGAGTGAATTGAAGAGCTTACAAGGCAGTGCTTGACTGCCAGCCCCTGGCCCCTGGTCCTTGATCCCTGGCACCTGGCCCCTGGCCCTTGACCCCTAGCCCCTGGCCCCTAGCCCCAGGCCCCAAGCCCCTGGCCCCTGACCTGCTGTATACTGTACTTCCACTAATGCTTTTAAGCACTAAGACAATATATAATCCAAATGAAGTGAACAGGCCAGTGTTTTAACAATGCATACGGCAGTCATGTATACAGTAGGAATATCCAGTGGCCTACTTTTTGTAAAATCAGTTTTGCTAGTCAGACAGGGAGCAGCCTCTCTTTCTCTCTCTCTCTCTCTCCTTTTCTCTCTCTCTCTCCTTCTCTCTCTCATACATCTACCCACCCACCCAGGTATTGTCCAATCACCAGTGCAGGACCTCCAGGATGAGGTTTAGACCCACTGTGTGTGTTGTTATTTAAGGTAAACACAGGACAGTTTGCAGGGGGCTCTTTATCTCTGTGTTTAGAGGCAGCAGCTTTTGACAAATGATCCAGAACATTCCTACCTAGGGCATGTTAATGGATTAGCAAGGGAAAATAGGGCAGTAGAATGATAAGCTTTTGATCTTCATCATTTGGCTTTTAAGCCGGAAAATTAAGGCACATTAACCATAGACAGTGGGTAACACCGAATCCTGACTGGATTAACTCAGAGCCCTTCTTTGCAGTGTCTGAAAGAAAAAAGGGAGCGGGGCAAGCTTTGCTTTTTCCTCTAAGTCACGAGGAATGGGTGACCAGAGAGCGAAACCGAAATGGTCATCAGTCTTGTGATAATAACAGAGAAAGTCGGGTCTTAGAAAATAGGTTCTTGCTTGTTCCTTTGGGACAAGTTTTGTCTCGCGCCGAGGGAGCTGGGTGTTGCTGCTGGGACATTCTTTCGGGAAGTGCAAGGGTGAACACTGTTTAGGCTGCCACAGGCGTCTCCCAGCCAGTTCAGCTCTGTAGCTGGTCTCTAGCCTCTCGTCCATCTGTTCAGCTGTGCCGTAAGGTGCCTTCTAGGGGCCTTTGGTGGCAGAGCAGTGTGTTAGAAGGGCAAGCCATCGCGTGAGAGACTGAACGGGCAGTGGCGGTACCGTGGAAGGACAGCTGCGAGAGCCATGGGCAGCCTTCTTGGTAGCTTCCTACTGAGCCAGTGCTCCTGTGCCAGCCAGGGAGGTGGAGGCGTTGAGGTCACTGCCACCTCCCTTTCCCTCTCGCCTTCATATTGGGGTGCATCTCATCCCTCCCTCGGAGGACAGGTGTGTGTGCACTGCCCAAGTCTGGAACTCTTCTGGAGTCTTTTCCCAGCTGCAGCCCCTCTGCTCCCACCGCCCAGCCCTGCCTCCCGTGACTGCGTTTGTGCTGCTTGCCACTCAGAGCTCGGAGAGGGAGAAGTGGAGTGTGTGCCTTTGTTGCAGGAGTGAGGGACCCTGCAATTGCTATTCCCACCTGGAGTTGGGTGTGATTTCTGAAAGCATCCCTGGAAAGAAGGGCAGCTTCCAGACATCCTGGTGAGATTTAACGCGGGTATGCGGTGAGTCTATCAGGTGATTCAAATGGAAATGAAGTCTTGGGAAACGAAGTCTTCAAATAGAGCGTGTTCCTGGTCTCTCATGTGGATGCAGGTCCCAAGGCTTTGAACCATCCTAAGCTGCTTTCCCAGGCCACAAACAGGAGCTGGATGGGAAATGGAGCAGGTGGGACATGAACTGGTACCCCTATGCCCTAACGTCCAACCTCTCTCTCCTCAACGAAAACCATCCCTCGGTTAGATTATACTGTCTTCTGCCAATGTGCGTGCTGGGTAAATGGTTGTCACTGAGGCCCAACCTTTGGTTCGGTGCTTGAAGCTGCCAGCTGCCGTGTCAGCCTCTGTGTCGGAGCACCAGGTTAACCTTGGCTGCTCCGCTTCTGATGTGTTTTCTGTTAATGCCCCCAAAAGCAGCGTGCGTGAGTGCCAATGCTAGGCCTTCTGCCGCTTTCGTGGGAGAATGGATGGGGTGCAGGCGCGTCAGCCTTGCTGTTTCCAGGTGCTGAGCCATCTGGGAAATGAACCAGTGGTCCGAAGCTCTCTTTATCTTCCCTTCAAATAAATAAAAACAAATCTTCAAAAAATGGCAATTAATGCCACTGTATCAGTTAGGGAATACTGATAAAAAATCTAAATATTCAGTGTAAGAACAATATTTTCTTTCAGATAGAAATTTTTAAAAGATTTATATACCTATTCGAAAGACCCAATTACACAGAGCAAGGAAGCGACAGAGGTCTTGCAGCTGATGTGTCATCCCCAAATGGCTGTGAAAACCAGAGCTGGGCCAGGCTGGAGCCAGGGACCAGATGCTTCCTCCAGGTCCCCAAGTGGGTAACAGAAGTCCAAGCACTTGGGACATCCTCTGCTGCTTTACCAGAACCATTATCAGGAAGCTGTGTCAGAAATGAAGCAGCCAGGACTCAAACTGGTGGCCGTGTGGTATGCTAACACGACAGGTGGCAGTATAATTCACTATGCTACGGTGTCGGCCCCTCCAGTTCCTGGCTGGTTGCATCTGTGGATGCCAAATCCATCTACTAGCCATGATGCCCAGTGGCAGCAGACACAGATGGGATGCAAAGAAATTGTGGGCACCTGCCCATGTGCAGAGTTTAGTCGTTTGTAGAGTGGGCAGGCTTGTTTCTGGCTGCTTGGTGGCCCTGCTTTTCTCGGGGTTCATGAACAGGGAGGGCATTGCTGCCCAGCCTGTGTGTTTCTGTTGGAAGTGATCCTGTGAAATCCATGCTGGCCCGTGGTCAGTGACGGTGGGTATGAGTTGTGCATTTGAGGGATTTGGGCAACTGAAATGTGCATTTAAGGAAACACTGGCCGGGGAGTGCACTCAGCTGGCATGCTTCATTACCCCAGTGTGCCCGAGGCCTGCAGGCCTCTCCAGGACTGCCAGCACTTCAGGCGTCATGGGCCGTGACATCTAGAGGGATGACCTTGGTTTCCAGGCTGTGTTTTGGCAAAAGGCTGGTTCTTCTCCACCAAGACCATTAGCTGGCAATTCATTGGAGTTCCATTTTGCAACATGAGCTCCGCTTGCCGCAGTTCCTTCCATTTTGTGGCACAAATGCTCAGTATGTATTTAGCTGTCAGCCAGGGTCGGGGGCGGGGGGAGAAAACCTGGGACCTTGTGGGGTGTGCAGGAGCTCTCAGGCCACTAGGAGGGATGGTGGGAGGAGAAAGAGTGCCACTAAGAGCAGCAAGCAGAAGGCTCAGGCGTGCCTGGCCGGGCTGGGGAACCTGCTTGCTGCCAGGGCCACTTGGGTATTTGTGACATTGTTTATAGGCCATGAAAGACATCAGTTTGAAAAATGAAACTTTGTTGAGCTTTGAGTTCTGTGGTTGCCGTGGTAGGGCCAGACAAGTTGACTTGACGCCTGTGTGGGCCATGGGCTGGTCTGAAGAAGGGCAGGAGGTCTTGGGGGGAAATGGGTGCAGTGGGGGTGGGGTGGGGCAGGGGATACGTGTCGAGCAGGCTTCAGACATTGGCCCAGGAAGATCCTGAAGCAGTTCCCATCTGGGGAAGTTAACCTGTCTCCTAAGGGATGGATGCTCATCCAATGAAGGAGGCACGAGGCCAGGTGTGTGTTGGACGAGGCTGAGCGGGGCAGGGCATGCATCGGAACAGCGGTCCCATGGACCGCAAGGAGACCTAGTTTCTGTTCGTATGTTCTCAGCTGACATTCAGAACCAAACACTGTCAGAAGGCTTTGGTGTCCTGAAAGTAATGGATTGATTCCAGTGGTTTATCAGAATTCTCATCATTGGTGGAAATCTGCAATGTTTGGTTTAAAATGCTTTGAAATGGCAATATTTTTTTAAAAAGATTTATTTTTATTGTTTTTCATTGGAAAGGTGGATATACAGAGAGGAGAGACAGAGAGGAAGATCTTCCGTACAATGATTCACTCCCCAAGTGAGCGCAACGGCCGATACTATGCCGATCTGAAGCCAGGAGCCTCTTCTGGGTCTCCCATGCGGGTGCAGGGTCCCAAAGCCTTGGGCCGACCTCGACTGCTTTCCCGGGCCACAGGCAGGGAGCTGGAAGGGAAGCGGGGCTGCCGGGATTAGAACCAGCGCCCATATGGGATCCCGGGCGTGCAAGGCGAGGACCTTAACCACTTGCGCCACCGTGCCGGGCCCAAATGGCAATATTTTTAAAGCATATTTTTGAGGATGTGTTTGTTGGAACAGTTCCATTTTTCTAGATTGATGATACTATTTATCCTTACAGGTGATACTCTCTGGCATCATAGGATTAATGACTTGGAAAAGGCCCATGGTACTCCTGGTATGTAGCCATCTCCATAATTCTTAGCCTGCTAAAATGTGCGCTGTATGAAGTCTGTGTCAGTAAACCTATGCATTGTTCATTTAAAACCAACTCATCAACAATTTCAGAGGACAGGTGCTCTTAAAGTTGATTTTGTTGGGTTTCTGACCATGCTCAGCTTCTTTGGCATGTGTGCTGCCCATGGGCCCCTCTTCCCTGGACCGGACCTCTTCTGGGGACAGACTTTCTCTTGGAAACGTAACTTTAGGCTGGTGCAGACATCACACAGGAACGCGGGAACAACACAGGGAAAGCCTGCACCACCCTGCGGGTCGGAAGCTGTTAACTTGCTGTTTCATTGAGTTCTAGCCTTGGCCAGTCCTTCCAGGTTCTTTTTCCCTTGATGGTCTTTTGAAGCAAATCTCAGACATCAATAAAAATCCATGATTTGTTATTAATTTTTGTTTTAACAATCTCAGACTTAAAAAAATTCATTTGGAAGGCAGTTACAGAAAAAGAGACACACTAAGAGAAAGAAAGGAAGAGATTAGATAGATAGGTTGATAGATAGATGGAGAGATGATTTTGCATCTGCCAGGTCCCTCCCCAGATGTCCGTTATGATCAGTGCTGGGCCAGACGGAAACATGGAATTCAAGGATATATTTATTTTCATACAAATGTTTTTGAATTCTATACATAGTGTTTTAAAATTCATTTTTATTGGAAAGGCAGATATACAGAGAGGATCTTCTGTCTGATGGTTCACTCCCAAAGTGGCTGCAACAGCCGGTACTGCACCGATCTGAAGCCGGGAGCCAGGAATTTCTTTCCCCGGGGCTCTCATGCAGGTGCAGGGTCCCAGTGCTCTGGGCCATCCTCGACTGCTTTCCCAGGCCACAAGCAAGGAGCTGGATAAGAAGTGGAGCTGCTGGGATTAGAACCAGCGCCCATATGGGATCCTGGCGCATTCAAGACAAGGACTTTAGCCTCTAGGCCACCGTGCCGGGCCTAATTTTATGTATAGTTTTTTGTAAAATATACTTTCATGGTGGTATTTGAAGATCCATTTATTTTTTTAAAAAGACCTATTTATTTTTACTACAAAGGCAGATTTTACAGATAGAGAAAGTCTTCTATCTACTAGTTCATCCTCCAACAGCTGCAACAGCCAGAGCTTAGCTGATCCAAAGCTGGGAGCCAGGAGTGTGTTCTGGATCTCTCATGTGGGTGTAGGGTCCCAAGGATTTGGGGTCATCCTCCACTGCTTCCCCAGGACAGTCAAGCAGAGAGCTTGACTGAAAGTGCAGCACCAAGACATGAACTGGTGCGCAAATGAGATGCTGATATGACAGGGTAGTGGTTTAGCGTACTGTGCCACCACACCAGTTCACTTCGTATGTTTTAAATATTGCTTTCCTTTGGAAAAGTGTCTTATGTATCTCTTATCTTAAGCAACTTTAAAAAGGATGAAACCAAGTGGGACTGGCTTTGTATTACAGTGAATAGACGCACAGCATCCTGCGTGGATGCCAGGTCGTGGCCTAGCTGACCCAGTTCCAAGCTGTGGCACCTGGGAAAGTAGCGACATGGCCCAAGTGCTTGGGTCCCCACTACCTGTGTGGGAGCCCCTGGAGGAGACTGCCGCTCCTGGCTTCAGCCTGTCCCAGCCCTGCCCTTGCAGCAGTCTGGGGAGTGAGCCAGCGGATGGAAGATCTTTCTCCCTTTCTGTAACTCTGACTTTGAAATAAATCTTTTAAAAAATGAGCCCAATTAAAACAAGTCTATTGCATTCCTTTCAGTCTGTCATGGTTGCTGTGAACTACATGTAGTTTATCACAGGGTTGTAACCAGTGTGCCCGTTCTGTGCACAACGCTGCTGTCTCTAACGGGAAACTAAGTTCATATCAGTTAGTATTCTATTTCCATGAAGGAGAAGCCTGCTCACTCACCCCTTCAACATGCCAGGCAGCCTTCTGCCATCTTCTGTTTCTTCATTAACTTTATTCTGCTGCACATTTAAGCATCTATTATTTTGGCTGCCATCAGTAATGTCTTCAGAAGTTTATACATAGATTGTTTTTGAAATGTTAAATGATATTAATTTATAAAGAAGATAAATTAATTTGAGGGAATTATGCTAGGAAGAGCTTTTTTTTTTTTTTTTAAATCTTGAAACAAACATACACATATGGAGATAAGAGAGCTCTACTCATTGGCTAAACACATATATGGAGATGAGAGAACTGCACTTATTGGCTGCGCGCACACATGGAGATGAGAGAGCTCTGGTCATTGGCTCCCTCTCCAGATACCGGCAGTGGGAACCAAGAACACACCTACATCTCAAGGAGGACAGGACCCCATTGCTTTGGCCATCATGGACTGGTGGTTTGCTTTGGCAGGGAGCTGGAACTGAGGGCCGGACCTGAACCCAGGACCTGAAATGAAGCCAGGCGCACCAGTAGGGGACACAGGTGTCTCAAAAGCTAGGCTGAACACTGTAGTATGGAAGAGCATTTTATCGGTGGGTCCTTCCAGCCCATCAATATCATAGATATAAAATCTTTAAGCTCACATGAATCTTAATAGTATATGCCTGGGAAAGTAGTAACAGTGGACCGGAATACTGGGCTCCCGTGTTCATGGGGGCAGTCCCAGGTGGATTCCAGGCTCCTGGCTTCAGCGTGGGCCAGCCCTGGCCTTCACGGCCACTGGGGACTGAGCCATGGGTGGAAGATCTCTGTCTCTTCCTTTCTTACTCTCCCTCTCAAATATAAACCAAATCTTAAAAAAAACTCCTACCTTCCAGAGATGGAGTAAATCCTAACATTTTACAGAAGAAAGTTGCCTTCCTGCCTATGATGAGCATGTGTGTTTGGAAGTGCTATGAATTGTAGTTGAAGCATGATTGAGTGCATGTGGGGGAGACTGTGCATTCCGTTTGCATGTACAGTGTGTGGGAGCAAGTCAAGGCAGTCAGCATTTCTGTCAAATATTTATTTTTTTCAGAAATATTTACTGTTTGTATTGAAAATCTTTACATTTTGTCTGAAGTTTCTTTCACTGCCTTTATTCTCCAAAGCTTTGTGTCCCTCCTGTGTAGCTTCAGGGTTGTCAGGGCACATCTCGGAGGTAGGCTGGGGTGATGGGTTCCTGGCCAGGTCCTTTGGGAGCCGACTGTCCTCATTCTGAGTGGCTCAGTGCACACCAGTCTAGAACACGTGGCTGTTGCCTTTTGAGAACTGTTTATGTTTGTGTTCCGTCTTTTGTGATTGTTGGCCATGATTGCATCAGGTTTTTGAGGAGTTTGAACAAAGAAGGATCAGTTTGACCTAGTTCCTTTGAACTCAAAGTTTTCATGGAAATTAAGCGTGGGAAGCTTCCATTTGCGGGATTCTCTTCGTTGTGCTGACGCAGTACTCTGTGTTCAGAACAGAAATAATGATGTTGAAAGGTAGTAAATATTTCTAAGCTGTGTTTTATATGAGAGCCAGATTAAGCTGGGGAGCGTGTGCAGTATGCATGCAGGGCTCAGAGGTATTCTGGGTTGTTCCATAATGAGCTAACCTTCTTCATTTTTAAAAAGTGTACTTATTTTTGGGGGACATTATTCTGTTTTCATTTTAATGTGGTGTTTTCTAAGTGTTTGGAAATGGCAGCTTCCATGCTGGGAATGGCACGAAAGCTTGCCTTCAGAAGATGTTTCCCTTTGTTGCCAAGTTCAGTAAGATTGGCTACCATGGCAGCTGGCTCTCTGATGACGACGTTGGTTGTTTATGGCGGCAGTGGGTATTTGGAGGTTTTGTTCTGTCTTTTCTTGTTAGCTGGAACAGGTGGCTTGGCTGTGGCTTGAATGCTGATAAACAGGCCACTTACTCATTAGTATCTGAAATGGAAGTTCTTCCCCAGATGTTCTTGGGGCACCTGTGCTTTAATCTCTATCGGAGGGAAAGTGCATTGTCTGGTTTTTAAGTACTCCTTCTGTTCCTTCTGACTTAAAGTTGATAGTATTTAGGATAAAACTTCATTACCCAGAGAAACTAAAATATAACATAAGATGGATATAGTCTTCCTCCTTCCAGTTGGTAAGGTGGTTGAGCAGCACAAAGCCACTTGGAGATCCAGCCACTCTTCATCTTACTGTGACGGGAAGGAGAGTTATGGGACTCCTATTCACCAAACAGAGTTCAGGAATAATCCTCCCCAGTTAATCAGAGAGTTGTCGGTGGGTTAAGCTGCAGCCAACACAGTGGCCCTTCCATCAATGCTTGGGCAGTGCCAGGGCCCCCGTGTGTTTGGTGCATTCACAGCACAAGGCCGGAAGCTTTTGGCCTTGTGTGGTGCAGGTCCTCCAAGGACTGCGTGGCTGTTGATACACTGGAGTTGGCCTTTGAGGGACAGTTCTGACATATGACCTCTTATTAATGAAGGACCTTGGGGAAGCCTCTCTCTCTCCAAAATGAATGGGTTATATCAGAACATTATTTCGAAAGTCCTTTAAGCTTTTGCGTTCTAGATTTTTGAGAACCCTCCTGTCTTCACTTCTGGTGGCCATTTGCCCAGGCTCTTGTAAGTTCCCGACATTGCACTTCTGCGATGATTTCCTTCTGTATCTGGAGGTGCAAGAACAAATGGCTCTTCACCATTGCGCTAAGGGAAATGAGCCAATCCCAAAAGGTCAGATATCATATGTGTGCTCTAATATAAGAAAATATGATGTCAAATCTAGGGGTGTTACATGTGAATCTTACCTTGTCCTTCATACTTACCTATACCTTATGTAATAAGATCTTGTGGTGTAACTCATTAATCAACTATCCATAAGAGACTGATTATTTATGATTACCTGAGATGGTCAGTGTCCCTTTTATCACTGTTATTGCTACTGCCCATAAATAATGAAGATCTGGTCCCCATCGTACCTTCATTAGGGCCCTGGGATACAAGAATGAACTCAAAACTAAATGCTGACAGTCTCCCACTTGGGTGGGAGACACTCCAGTGGCAGCATGATGG